CTCTTCAAGACTCAGCCCAAAATGAACCAAAGACTGTAACGTTAGAATAGTAGTAAAGGCAGCATACTAGTGACACAAATAAAATTGTTGGTAATTTGAGACTCAGAATGGCCTTTTAAAAAATAAAAACATAACCAGGTTCCCATACTAATCTGGCTTAATCAGCAATACATCCAAACATCAGTGTTAACAGTTTTTGTTTATATCCAAGGCCAAGGAGTTGAGGGCAGGAGAATTGGAGGAATGGGGAGAGGATGGCCCCTTCTTGACTTGGCTAACGGGCCAACCTTTGCTAACAGTTGGAAGAAATCTGTCTTTGACTCTCATTTTTGACTTGTCTCTCTGTGCCCAGCATATGCCTGTTGGACAACACTCCCTACCCTGACCCCTCCTAATCACAAGCCATCTCTCAATGTATGATCCATGGGGTGGAGGGGGAGTGCTTTATAATATGCAGTTAATCCTTTGGTGCTTTTATTTTCAGGCCTTTAAAATAAAATGTGCAGATTTTTGTTTAAATATTGAAATTTCCTTGTACTAGTTTTTGTATTTACAGCCAAATGTATCTTTTATTCTTCTCTTGATTGAATAAAGTGATTTTAGAGGGCTGCCAGCTAAAAAAGTATTTCCTATCACCTTAAGACTTGTAGAGCCCCTAGCTCATGTAGCTGCCTGTTCAAGAAATGCAAATCTGTAGTCATCATGACTCTGATAACAAAGAAAGGAAAGTTTTCCGTTTTCCTAGTCATGTGAGGCAAGAGGAGCAATCCTGGTGCTGATTTTAACTTTTACAAACATTGTTGAGGTTTCCTGATTATACTGTTGGCCTTTTCTCTGAGCAGTGAGGTTATACTAGAAGTAGAGCTTCTGAAAAACATTATTACCTCACAAGCATAAACAAATCAGGCCCACAGAATGTAAGTCGTAGAAATTTGTTTAGAAGCAGCCCCAGTCACAGCACTGGTGTTACCCGTGTGGTTAGAGGAGGCCGTCTGCTGTCTGTAGAACTCCAGCCTAAAAAATGCTGGCCTGGGACACCAAACTGAGCATCTTCAACAGGGACATTATTTCCTCCTGATATTTGTTCCAATAAGTGGGTTTACTATTTATTGTAGAATTCTGGCAAAGAGGGAAAATAGTAGTCCCTCAGTCTTCCTGTATTTTTACATTAGATTTTGATATTTCAGACTGTAAAAGCCTTTTGGGGGATATTACATGTGACTGTAATTTTACTGAAGCAACTGCATTGAAATTCACTTGGGTTTTCCCTCATTATCAGATTGTATTCCAAACAAGTATTCTGCTGATTTATTATGTTTGGTCTACATAAAAAATAGCTTGTATAAGTTAGTTTTGGTTACCATCTAAAATATTTTTAAATGTTCTTTACATGAAAACTTACGTTGTATTTTTAAATCTTTAGGGGCTTTATCTATTTTTCTAAGTCAGTTAACTATACTTTAAAAAAAGTAATTTGTATCTACTTTTGTAACTTCATCAGAATAAAATATATTGAAAGAAAGAAATGACTAAGATATGTGTCTCAACACACTTATTTGTGAAACTTGAGAATTTTTGCAGCCTCTGCAGAAGATTGTCTTTGCTTAACATTTAGTAGCTAAAATGTTTTCTTAACTCTTAGAAGAAAGGGTACAGTGGCTAAAGCACATCCCAGAGAAAAAAACAAGTCTCCTTTCTACCTTGCTAACCCAGATCTACATTCCTGGCTATGAGATTGAGAAAAGGGAAGAGGAGAGACTAGACTTCTTAATTTTCTGACCTTGAAATTGAGTACTCAGCATTATCTAAAAGACACCCCCACCTCAGCCATTTTTCATTATTGTAAGAGAAATATTATTTTTAGAGGTCCAAATTATGGATAATTTTAGGTCTAGTCAAAATAGTGCTAGAATTATTTTGACCTTCATTGAGTAAGGTTAAAATTAAAAACTTTAATAAATGTGAAATAAAAACTTAATGACTGTGGCTAAATAATATGGGAAAGCTACAGTCAGTTTTGGAATTTTTGGACAGTTTTATTAGGCTTAAAATTGACTATAAAAATGTTAAGTATCTAATGGCTAAATTTGAAAGCTATTTCAAACTTTATAAATGAGTAGTAGAATAAACCAAATAATCTTTGGAAGGGCCAGAGTCATTCTTCAAAGTTGCACAGTCAGCAACAATGTCCAAAACACGCCTTGGACCTTCTCTATCAAATACTCCATTGCTCTCTGGCTAGGTATGGACACCTCAACCTGCATCTTTACCACTGACCACCAGATGTCAGTCTCTGAGATCCCAAAAGCTAGATGTGTGTGTCCTGACCAGAATAAGGAATTTTAGGGGGGAGAACCAAGATGGAGGCATAAACACCTGTATCTGCCACATCCCACAGTCACATCAAAATTACAACTAAAATACAGAATAACCATCATTCAGAACTTCCTGAAAGCTGGGTGAATGGAAATCCTACAACTAGAGAAGTAAAGAAGAAAGCATATTGAGACTGGTAGGAGGGGAGGAGGTGCAGGACAGACTGGTCTGGCACCCTTGTGTGCCGCATTTTTTAATTAATTGGGAGGGAGATCATCTCTGCAGAGGCCCCTCATGTGGTCAAGGGGTGCCAGCTCCACACCAGACCCCTAACCCAGGGTCTCAGAGCTGGGAAGAGAAGTCCCTGCAACCATGAGCTATAAAAACCTGTGGGGATTGTGGCCGCAGAACAGGGGCCGCCAGAGACCCAGGTGTCCCTCTTAAAGGGCAGGTGCACAAACTTACCTGGACTCAACCCCTATGAGCTCCAGCACCAGGAGGTGTTGGGGGACCCAGACACATACAGGGAGGAACTGGATTGTCTGGCATCAGGGCAGGAACTCAGGGTGGCTTTCTTCCAGACAGGGGTGCTTGCAGGAGTCATTGTTCCTGTGCTGGGACATCTGTCTGGCTGGCAGCCATATCTGAGTTCCCATCAACCTGGCTCAAACTGTTTTCTTGGCCCTGGTGATTCCTTGAGACCCCGCCCCATGCTATTTACAGTCTGACCCAGGCTGTTTGTAGCAGCTTTTCCATATGAACGGCCTGTCCTGGCTCAGGTTTCAGACTTTGCTAAAATCTCTCAAACAAGCTGCAGCTGGTGACAGCATGTCCCAAACCTATCAAAAGGCCCAAGACCTGGCATTAGCACCAGCCTGCCTTGCTTCACAGCTGGGCCTCGCCTGGGCACTTCCAAACCCAATACAAATAGAAGGCATCTGCAGATTTTTCTTTAGCTCCTGCCAGGTGGTCCCAGGCAATGGCTAATTTTGCACCTCCCTGGAGACCCTCGAGCCAGTGCACCCAGTGGACAGCTTCAGACCATAGCAGATTACAATTCTACACATTCACAAGTGACACACTCAAGGGGCAGACTCAGTGAGCACCAAAGCCCCACTGAAGCAAGTCCTCCATAGGGGTATTTCCTGCACAGCAGTTCTCCCACTGTAGTCACAGCTGGTCTTCATAGCCAGTTGGCCTGGAGGTCAATTCCTCCCAGTGGCACCAACAGCAATCAAGGCTCAACTACAAGAGTGCACAAGCCCACACAGTGGTGCACCTAGAGTACCCAACTCAGGTGACTGGGGAGGCTGAGCCACTGGGCCCTACAGGACACCTACTACACAAGGCCACTCTACCAACTCCAAGAGACATAGCTCTATCTAATACATAGAAACAAACTGGGGAGCAGCCAAAATGCAGAGACAACGAAGCATGTCACAAATGAAAGAAATGGAAGCAAGCAAACTACTGGATACAGAGTTCAAAACCATGGTTAAAAGGTTACTCAAGGATCTTCATGAGAGCTTCAAGGGACTTAGCAAAACTTTCAAGGATCTTAGTGAGAATGTCAAAAACATGAAAAAGGACCAGTCAGAAATTAAGCATACAGTAACTGAAATAAAGAATAGTTTACAGGGATTCAACAGTGGAGTAGAGGAGTCTAAGAATCAAATTAACAACTTGAAATATGAGGAAGCACAACAAAAACAACAACAACAAAAAACCCAATCAGAAGAGCATAAAGAAAAAAGAACCCCAAAAATATGAAGAGAATGTAAGGAGCCTCAGGGACAACTTGAAGTGTACCAATATTTCCATGATGGGGGTGCCAGAAGG